GAGGCTTGGTTATATATGTAAAAATTCAGTCTGGACAGAATTTCTTTTTTTACTTTTGTTTGCTCAATATTTATGTCATCAGTAATAGTAACAGTATCATATATTTGTGTGCAGTGCTGGCAACTGACAAAGTGTTTTAATAAACTTGGCAACAACCCTTTGGTATCTCGTTTTGGGGTATCTCATTCTAAGGCAGGTAAATAGAGAGAAGTCCCACAGCTAATAATTGGCAAATTGTGCCTTGGACCTGATTCTTCACAGCCAACTTCAGTGTTCATTTCACTACATTTTATCTATGAAGGTTTTCTTCTAGGGAGAGTTGGTCATGGTCTTACAGTTTTTAACCCCAGTGATTTTGGTTGTTATCATTATGTCTTGCACATAATAAACAGTCACTAAAGAATATGGGTCAGGCGCGGTGGCTCACGCCTGTAATCCCAGCAATTTGGGAGGCTGAGGCGGGCAGATCACGAGGCCAAGAGATAGAGACCATCCTGGCCAACATGGTGAAACCCCGTCTCTACTAAAAATACAAAAAAAAAAAAAAAAATTAGCCGGGCATGGTGGATTGTGGCTGTAGTCCCAGCTACTCAGGAGGCTGAGGCAGGAGAATTGCTTGAACCTGGGAGGCAGAGGTTGCAGTGAGCCAAGACAGCACCACTGCACTCCAGCCTAGCAACAGAGTTAGACTCTATTCAAAAAAAAAAAAAAAAAAAAAAAAAAGGATTGTGGAAGGAGGTGATGAAGGAAGGAAGGAAATAAGAAAGGAGGGAAAGAAGGAAGGAAAGTAAGAAAGAAGGGAGGGAGGGGCAGGCTGGAAGGAAGAAAGAGGGAGGGCGTGAAGAAAAGAGGGAGTCCTGTTGTGTGGTAAAGGATTTTTGGAGCCCCTAAATGATGATAGTTGTCCCCAAGTTCTCAGCTGTTTCAGAGAACTGTCCAGCTTCCCCCACAATTATCATTTGTCCTGACCTTTTTTTGCCAAGACAGACCAGGTCTAGAGTAAAATACTACAAAATACACTCTCTGGTATTAAAAAGGAATGGCCAAAACCGTAATTACTTTTGCACCAACCTAATAGTAAGTTACTGCTTTACCTTATACTTTCTTGCTTATAATACTGTAGTTGCTGACATACCAAAGAAAGTGTGTTTGGGATAAAGTGGTCACATAAATGGCAAACATCAAAGTAACGTCAGATTTTGTAGTGTTTCTGATCGCTGTTCATTTAGTAGTCACTAGAAGATAACTCCCACATTGTGAAAAACTAGCCACAAATCAGAGGGAGACAAGGTTTAGGAAGCAGTGAATGAGTGAGAGCTACTTCACCTCCTTCCTGGAACAACTATTGCGAGGGGGGTCATCTTTCATATATTGAAACTTATTTTATCTTCCAAATTTTAGTTTACCTTTAATACAGCTCCTCCCACCTCCCCCAGAAAGAATGCTGTTTGCTCTGTTTGGCATAGGACCCTTTGTGTCTGTTTCATTATGTCCTGGTTGAATGACCAAATGGAAACTGATTTAGGAATACTGAGTGTGTACGGCACAGAGACAAAAATATCACTGCAAAATTTATAGGCCTGTGTAAGACTGTCAGGGCACTGTGTTCAAAAAGGGAGAGCAAAAGGAAACCTGGCGAAAATCTGAAGAGTGTATATAGCACCATCTCCATCCTGGGTTCTTCTGACAGTTACAGCTTATTCCTGTGTTTGGCTGCTGATTTGGAGCAGCTGCTTCCAGTCAGTTAACACTTCGCATCACCTGGGAGCTCATTCCTGCCTTACAATTCGTGATCATTTTTTGATCTCACTACTGCTAAAGGATAAAAGTGTTAAGCATAATAATCCATAACTGTATGAGATACTTGCTACTTCATTTCCTTCCAAGAATCAGTTTGCTGTCAAATATCCCATTTCAGGTAATGATCTAAGCATTTTTTAAATGAATATGTCAGAGCTAGGGGCTTCAGGATAGCATTACAAGGATAATCATTTCAGGGAGATATATTTTTAAGGCCTTTTAAAAAAGGGTTGTTTCTAGTTTTTAACATATTTGTTCATCTTATTTTGATGATCTCATAAGATCAGAAATTCTAAGGAAGAGGTATGTCTGTATGTTGCTTATATCACTGCTATTTTTTATTGTTAGTTTACATTTTATAAGGAGTGTCTACATTTTGGGGGGAGGTGGAATGTTGGTTTTGTTGTTTTTAGCAAAAGCCTTGGCATTTGTCCTGAGAGAGCCCGTGCAGTGTTTGCTGTTCAGGATGCATGAAGGGTAATCTTTAGCAACCTGTCAGAGAGGAAAAGGCCACTAGGGTCTGCTTGAGGTTCAGAGTTCCTCTGCAGGACTGCATGGTGACAGCACACCACAAGTGGCCCATTCAGCACTGTCACCTGGGGCAGCAAAGATACCCTGCTCCATTTGTCATCCCATGGAATTCTGTCAGCAGTTGAAAGCCTTTAAGCACAAAACCTTTAACATTCAAGGTAAACTTCCTAATTTTTTTTTCTTTTTTTTTTTTTTTTTTTTTGAGACGGAGTCTCACTCGGTCATCCAGACTACACTGCAGTGGTGCGATCTCAGCTCACTGCAACCTCCACCTCCCAGGTCAAGCGATTCTCCTGCCTCAGCCTCCTGAGTAACTGGGACTACAGGCACCCGCCACCACGCCCAGCTAATTTTTACATTTTTTAGTAGAGACAGGGTTTCACCATGTTGATCAGGCTGGTTGCAAACTCCCGACCTCATGATCCGCCCATCTCGGCCTCTCAAAGTGCTGAGATTACAGGCATGATCCACTGCACCCAGCCAACTTCCAGTATTTTTAAAGGCAATTGCCGTGGATGAAAATGTTAATACATAGCACCTAAATAAGTAGTTTTCACATGAAAGGATAATATTATGTTAAAATTATATGCTGTGTGATATATAGAAATGTTGTGTACTCCACGATTTTACAGACCAAACAGTGAAAATCGTGTTTCCCCTCTTCTTGAAGAAGATGTTAAATTATAACTGATAATTGATGGTAAAAATCACCTGTCTACTCATTCTTTCTTATTCCTTTTGTTTAGTTGTTTGCTTTGTAGGCCTGGAAAAGATGCCTTGAAATGTGTTTTGAAAATAACTTTTTGTTGGATTAATAAAAAATTAGTCCAATTCTTATTTATCCATAGTAATGATTCCAGAATAACATGTATCTCCTTAGGAATAAAATTCTCCTTTAAAAAAATAAATAAATAGCATACATCTTTGAAGTCCCCAGATTTCCATTGTCAAGCTTTTTTTCTCATTGGTACACACCCAAATTAAGAGCCTTCCCTACTTGCCCGTTAATGTTTGCTGCTATTCATTGAATGCCAGTTTCTTTTTCTTTTTTTTTTTTTTTTTTTTTTTGCCAATTCCTTTATCTAGATTATTCATAATCTCTACACTATTCTGTAAGAGTGCCATTACCCCTGTTTTCTTGATGGGAATATTGAGCATCTGAGTGGTTAAGTGACTTATTCAAAGCCAGTAGGAGACAAGATTTGAACCACATCTGTCTCCAAAGTCCAAGTTGTTTTGAGTGTCTTTTGCTGTTATTTGAAAAAGCCATGCTGAGATCAATGAAAGAGGTCAAAAAACATGCCTTAGACAGGCTAATAAGAGGCAAGCAAGGCCATGAGTAATTCAGAAATGGAATAATCAGATGTTGAGTATTCTAGTCAGACAGAATAAAAATCAAGCAGGGGAGAAGACAAAATTAGGTTATGTGTCACAACAAAATGTAGACTTTCGAAGGAAATGAACAGGAAAGGCAGAAGAAAATGGAAAAGTAATATATGGCAGGTCAAATAAAAGTAAACAAGGGCATATGAAACTCACATGCAAATAATAAAATAGAAATTAGTAAGGAAGACAGACAAGGAATTAAAAATTCATAAGAATGTATCAGTAGACAAGAAAAAAATTTGCCTCTAAAGATGGATTTTTTTTTTCCTAAAAGAGTATGTAGAATCTACACTGTCTTGATATTATTGGTTTTGCTTTTCATCTTGATAATATCATTGATAAACATTGTGTACATTAGACTATTTTTGGTTGGGACTGAGTATTGCCCATGGTGTTCCCAATGATATGAGAAGAAGCATCTTGGTACTAAATGCCCTGGTGGCCTGGGGCTGAGAGGTTTGGCTTGTATAATTCATGCACCCACTTTCATGTAATGTGAAGTTTGACAAGTGAATATTAAGTTCATTATATGAAGGTGTTGCAAACCAAACTTGAAACATATTTCTACCTCTCATTCTAAATGGAGATATTTTGTAGTGTTTTATTCTACATTTACAGTGATATTGGACTCTTTCCATTTCCCTAAAAGTATGATGACATTTGGACATTCAACCATGTTCCTCTAAGAAATTAGAGTAGAAAAGAAATTTAGAAGAGAATGAATTCTAATCTGCATGTTAATATGTATCTGACTAATAATCTATAACGTTTTCATTTGGAACAAATGAAACTTGTGTTTCTTTTTCTATATATACATCATGTCTAAAAAATATGAAGTCAATAGGCATGTAAAACATTTCAAAAATAAATAATTTTATCAATTAATTGCCATCAAAAATAGATGTCTAAATTGAGCTGCACTGACATGACTTTATACCATTACCTTGAACCTTCCTGAGAAATGTATTTTACTTAATGACAATAGAGCTTCTCTTTTCCAACTACCTGGAAGATAAGATATTGGTTAAAAAATGTTGAGCCCCTTTTCCTATTTAGTTATTATAAAATTAGTTAACTCTATAATTCTCTCTTTTATAATTTGATTCTATGTAATTAGACCCACGAAGTGCTTAACTTCTTTGCTATTGTTTGTAAGGTCTGCAAGTGTTGTGAAATCTGTACCTTATATGAACTCTTCCTTTTAGGATTATTTCAGATTAATGGCTGCTTAGAAGGGAGAAAAAAAAGTCAATGTTAACCTTTCTCCTTTCTCTCCTCTTCAGCTACATCTACATCCACCACTGGGACAAGCCATCTTGTAAAATGCGCAGAGAAGGAGAAAACTTTCTGTGTGAATGGAGGCGAGTGCTTCATGGTGAAAGACCTTTCAAACCCCTCGAGATACTTGTGCAAGTAAGAAAAGAAATTCTGTATGTGGCTTATGTCTATAACTCCCTGTTTCAGATGATTCTATGTCTCATGATGTATTGTTGCTTTTTTTCCAGTTTTGTTGCATCATGTTGAATAATGCCGTTTTATATGTAGAGTGTTTTAAAACATTCACACCATTCGTCATCACTCGTCTGTCATATCCAGAATTGCTTTTTGCTCTTTTCAACGTGTGTGAGGTTTTTTTGGGTTTTTTTTGTTGTTGTTTGTTTGTTTTTGCCATGTTATTTATATTGTTGCTTTCCTTGTGGTTTTTCTTGTTGTTATTCAGAAAAGATGTGCAGATATCACAGAGGCCTATAACTTTTGATATCTACTTCTACATCCAATGTATGAATTAAGCTGCAAGATAATGTTGCTTTCTTATCCCAGTGATCACCTGCAAAATGAATAAGACAACAAAAAGAAGCAGAAGGGCAGAAGATTACTTACTGACATGTATCTGTTACACTTGGGATTGTCTTATTGTTGCATAACTATTTTTTAAATGGAGTTTAGTTTTATATCACCAGTAAAAAAAAAGAGAAAAAAGTAAATTGCATATATTTGGAAATGCATTGTGTGTAGCATCCCTGTGGGTGACAACAGTGTTCTTTCATTTGTCTATAGATCTATCTAGAATAGCACTTTCTTTCCAATAACCTGAAGGAGTGATGCACCATTAAGAAGTATCCAATTTAGGCCCGGGCACAGTGGCTCACGCCTGTTATCCCAGCACTTTGGGTGGCCGAGGAAGGCACTTTTACAGAATTCTGTAGAGATTATAAATAATCTAGATAAAGGAATTGAAAAAAAAAAAAAAAACTGGCATTCAATGAATAATAGCAAATATTAATGGGCAAGTAGGGAAGGCTTTAATTTGGTCAGGAGATCGAGACCATCCTGGCTAATGGTCTGTGAAACCCCATCTCTACTAAAAATACAAAAAATTAGCCGGGCGCGGTGGCGGGTGCCTGTAGTCCCAGCTACTCGGGAGGCTGAGGCAGGAGAATGACGTGAACCCGGGAGGCGGAGCTTGCAGTGGGCTGAGATTGCGCCACTGCGCTCCAGCCTGGGCGACAGAGCGAGACTACGTCTCCAAAAAAAAAAAAAAAAAAAAAAAAAGAAGTATCCAGTTAACTCTCTCTCAAAAAGCAGCATAACATAGTGATAGTTTCAGTACATTAAATATTTAAACCTTGTAGTAAAAACCAATAGGACTCATTAAAAAGTACATTTATTTTGCCATGCATTTTAAGTCTACTATTGATATTTTGTCCACATGTGGTATATGGACTTAAAATTTGATGTGGGCATAAAAACATATTTAATGTTTTATAGAAATGATGAAAATACACGTTTATTTTGCTGTTCACCAATAGCTGTATCCCAAGAGCAAGGTATTTTAAAAGTTGTTCCTTAAAAAATGTAGAGTAAAACATCTATAAATTTTGCCAGCAGTCCCCAGCTGAAAACACGCAGTGAGGCCATTGTTCTAAAGCAGCAATGCTTGTTCTAAAGGAAGGAAAACCATTTTGTCATAAAAATTGTTTTCTGCTAGAATATTGGCATGGGGCTTAAATCTTGACAAGGAAGAACAAGTCTGTCAGAGAGGCAATTGAACTGATAGGGGCCATTAGCAAAATGAAAAGGCCACCAGAAATAGTGAACAAGGACATGTCCCTTTTACATCACATAAATACTATATAAATATTTAGTGCCAATTCTAATAAAATCTTAATTATGTTTATAAGTAAGGAAGTGCATCTTTAAAAACATATGTTTTAAAGGCAAAAAAGCAATGATCGAAAATGCTATTTTGTAGGCCATGTTTTGTTGCTCTCTGAGCTGTGGTAGATTGGAGGTGTCTGTAGTGTGCCTGATGGGACCTCTGGCTCTGAACAAGCACCTTCCAAAACTTCTCCTTTCTTGCACTCAAAAGCTCTTCTCTGAAAAGAGTAGATACAGTGCCAAAACAAGACAAGTTTTGGTGGTTGTATAGCTGATTTTATCAAAGACAGACAATTTGTAAAAGTAAATATAATCTGTTAGAGTGAATAAAAGACTTGGAGCCAGAACAGTAGAATTCTAATCTCAATTACTAAACATCTCTTTTACAGAAATAAATAACTTTTAAAAGCCAAAGTGCAATGATAGGTAAAAGTCTTGCAAAAGTATTAAAGCAAGATGAAATACGAGTATGAGGCCAGGTGCATGCCTGTAATCTCAGCACTTTAAGAGGCCGAGGCAGGGGGATCACTTGAGCCCAGGAGTTTGAGACCAACCTGGACAATGTGGCAAAACACCATTGCTACAAAAAATACAGAAAAAAATTAGCCAGGCATGGTGGCATGCACCTGTAGTCCCAACTATTCGGGAGGCTAAAGTGGGAGGCACACTTGAGCCCGGAAGGTTGAGCCTGCAGTGAGCCAAGATCATGCCACTGCACTCCAGCCTTGGTGACAGAGTAAGACTGTCAAAAAAAAAAAAAAAAATTAATAAATAAAAAATAAAAAAGAGTATGTGGAAAAGATCATTCCTTTTAGATCTGAATTATCTCATATGACTATGTTTATTGTTTAAAAAATAATCTTAGAGATTCATTTCTTGATCATTAAAATATTCAAATTTATATGCTTGCAGCAGAATAAAAATCTGTCTGATTTAGTCTTTAGTTCTGCTGACTTGCTGTGAATACAGCACAAATATGAGACATCCCCATATTTATCATAGCAAATTGGGATGAACCAGGTTTGTAGTTTGTAAGATTTTCTCTGATCAAAATAGAAAATGTCAGAAGCTGAGAAGTATAATCTATAAAATATGAGGTTCGTTTGTTATATGGGGAAACCTTGTTATTTTTTCCTAATCTTAAGCATACAGCATAATTGTATTTTAATAAATATCCTTGAAAAAACATTTAAATTATAGTTCCTTAAATTCATCTCCTTTTTAAACAATGTACCCATATTATCTATGTCACATATTTTTACTTCTTCAGAAAAGCATCTGAGACCACTATATTTTAATTATAGTAATGAAATGTGATCATTTTTCATCATCGCTTTGCAAAGATTTACAAGCTGAGTGAGTGCATATGATAGTTTCTGCGTATCTCTAAGGAACCAGGGCAGTTTTTTTCCACATATTAATTTCAGCTATTCTTTAGCCCTCCCACGTCCAATACAAAAAAGCAATCGCGTAAGTGCTGTTCAGTTTTTTCATTTTAATATTGTGCCAACAACTGTAATTTTTCTTCACTCACCACAGTTTCTCATTAAATCTTACGCCTAATCCAGAATTTAAAACTTGCTATATTTTAAAAATCTTGAAGTGAAACATTTGTTACTCTTCTAATAATTATTAAAGCCCCAAGCCTTGAATGAACACTGCATCCTCCCTAATTGTCTAGTGGATCATTCTTGCCTTCTAGTTCTAAGAAAATTATACCTTTTTTTTTTTTTTGTAATTAGGATCTTTTAGGTAAGTGTTTTAAATTATTACTGGATCTTATCAGAAAGAAAACCTCTGACATCTATGATTTTGATAACTTTCCCCCTCCTTTGGGATGGTGACTTTATTCATACATTAAAGCAAGACAGAACCTTGAGGGAAGAATTGGAGAGTATATTTTACATCCAAAATATTTCAAACCTTTCTTGTTAAATGAAACTTTTTCTTTTTAAAAATCCTGCATGTAAAACATCTATAGCACTAAAAATAATCACTACTGAGAATTTAAACACAGACATATTATACTAGGTCGTATGATAATACATTGTTCACTAGACCACTTGAATAGAAACAGAAGACATAAAAATACTGCATTGGCTCATCATGGTCCTGTCTATGAAGCCAGTTCATAGTTTCCATATGGTCTATCTGTCTAGAGCTAAGCATTGCTGAAGCTTGAGCCACGTCATTGAAAATCAGCTTTATCCCTGACTGAAGACATGACTCAGAAACACCACAAGCCTGGAAGTTTCCAAGCAGTCTCTCTGGTCACCCAATCTGCTGTTGTCTTCTTGGGAGTTGAAGTAGAAGATTTTACAACAAGTCTCTTTTGTCTCTGCTTAGAACAAGGTGTTTCGAATGGATTAAACATATTAGCAGTGAAACACTTCTCTGAGGAGAGGTTTCCGGATTGCTTGGACCTCCTCCTGGGGATTGTGTGGCAATTTCATTGGTAGTTCTCATCTTTTATTTTTTTTTCTCTACAGTAATTTAAAATTTATTCTGTGGAAAAAATAGTTACTATTCCAGATTATATAAAGATGAGAAAAGAATCATTCCATTTTGTACCCTCTGATGCTTTATGTGGTCCTGTGGTTCAAAGAAACAAGATACATGAAATTGAACATGAAATTGTCCAGTTTTCCTCTTGCATCTTTTCTTTATTCTTATATATCTGTTCTTCTGAACAGTATCAGTGGAGAAGTACTTTGGAAGATGTTGATGTGATTTTTTTTAATCTAAAAATTATTTTATATCAGGCTGTGCTTGTAAGTCCAAAATGTTGTCCAGTGGACAGATGTGCCTTCATCTGGAGGGGATTAGAGTTTTAAACTACAAATTTTGGTGAACAGTCTTATGTCCTTTCACTTCAACTCTCTGGACAATAAATTTATTTATAACATGAAGTTAATATGTTCTCCAAATTTCTTCCCAGGGAGTCAGTGAAATTAAATGAGTTCATTTCTGCTAAAGTACTTTTAACTCTGGGGAAGCAAAATTTATTTTTCCTTATAATAAAAAGTAACTGGTAGTATTACATTCTCTCAGTAGACACTGGAAAAATATATACACCTGTTTTAACAGACTGTGTTATCATGTTTAATTTCTTTCTTTCTTTTTTTTTTTTTTTTTTTTGAGACGGAGTTTCACTCTTGTTGCCCTGGCTAGAGTGCACTGGTGCAGTTTCAGCTCACTGAAACCTCTGCCTCCCAGGTTCAGGCAATTCTTCTGCTTCAGCCTCCCAAGTAGCA